GGGGGGGGGGGAATAGAAATCTTCAGTGATTTTTTCTAATTCTCAGGCATACCAATTAAAAAGTGATTTTTTGAAAAATCTCTGTTAGTCTTACACATTCATCAGCTTTCAGACATCCATAAAGACACAAAGCTTAATTCTCAGATATAACACTTTGCTTCTGATGAGAAACAGTATTGGTTATAAGATTAAAAGATACTGAGGCTAAAGATTTCTGACCTTGAAAAGAGAAATCTGTAGTCCCAGAGCAAGGGTAACAGAAAACAGGCACAGCTCCTAGACTACATTTATGTCAGGAAATGTACACAACCTTACTACGGTGAAATAGCCTAGGCAACTGGACAACTAGAAAGCCTTACCTCTAATGCACCTCCCCAGTTACCAGGGACTGTAACACAGCTAGAAACATTTCACAATCTCTCCCTTAGCTCAACAACATAAACATTTGCTCCTTTGGGTTCAGCTTTAATCACCTGCTTAATTGTGAGCCGTTATTGTCCAGGCACTAAAGTATCTTGACTGTAATTGTGCAAACCTGTGTTATCCAGGGAAGAGGCATCACTTTACCACTGCAAAGCAATCACACCTGAGTCTATATTATCTGCCTAATCTCCCTAGCGGATGGAAGCAGAATTAGAGAAGTAATTGCTCATTTAACTTTTAAGGTGAGAATCCTGTGCTTTAAAGCAGTCGATTTATCTAGAGTGTCCCATGGAAATAATTTTACCAAACCCTGGGCTTATAGCCTGGTACTGTGGTAGGCTTTAGGAGAAGTAACTTTTCTGTTATCATGTGAAGTTATAAGAAAGACAAGTTCATTCTTTAAATATAATTGATAAGAGGATTTTCTTGTAAAACCTAGCTGTTTGTGGAAGCTGATTAGGATTCCATAGGGAAAGCTGAACCTAAGTACTTGATAATGTGTTCTTTTAAAATAATTCTACCAGGTAAGTCTCTTTAAGTTTTGGAACTTTTCCACCTTGTCTGATTTCCTGGTACTTGTTCATACAGGTTTTACCCTGTAAGCATGCCTTTGACTAGCTGTGACATGGCACCTTTCCTTTCAGATGAATCTTATTTTGAAACTTCTTGTATTTAAATCCATCTAGACTTCCTTCTTTAAAGGGCTTTGGGGGCTGATTCTCTTCTTGCTTACTCTGCTTACTTCAGTGCATTTGCTTCCACAGAAAAGATTAATATTGGGCCTTGAGTATCCAGAAAATACTCTTGTTTAATAAGGAAAAACATGTAGTACTCATAAATGCTGAGTCATTCTCAATTCCTAATTTGGATTGGGAAGAGAAAGGGGGAATGCATTTTTAGAACTGTATCACAGAGCATGAGTGGCATTTCAAATAAAGGAAATGACTGTCTCTTCATACATATGTATACGTCACCTGTATGAGATTTCAGTTCTCTTATCAAGAAATACAGAAAATCCTTTGTATTTCCAAACTCTCTTGTGCAGGCTCAGCACTGATTTTAAATAAATCTATCTCTAACCCAGAGATGTGGCACAAAGCATAGCATCTGAATCCACTCCCCTTCCATGAATGAAATCAGCTCTCTGGATAGACCGAAGTGTTCAGCAGCATAGTTCTCCCTCTATGACATGACTATCCATACAGTGTTAAAGGTAATAGTTGTCTAGTAAAAGTACCCCTTTCTTCTTGTTCCAGTCTCCAGGTGGCTTACAATCTGATCCTACTTCTTCTGAATCCATTTTTGCTCTAGATTACAGGTCTATGGTTCAATACAAGAAGCAACAGTTGTATCATTTAATTCATTTACTGAGTTTTTTTTTTTTTTAAATTCTTATAGATTATTTTTATTGGTCTCATTCAACTCTGAGATAATTAATGAAGTTCCACTTCATGTGGCCTTAGCATAACAAAATCCCCCACAGGTGCTTTTCAGGTGAGCTGCTGACTTTCTGGACTAACACATACTGTTGCTGATTTAAGATGCTTTTCACTCTTAGCAAGCCAGACACTTAAGACTCAGCAAACAGATTTGAACTTAAACGTTTCACATAATATTTGTGCTAATTAAATGTGGTACTCGCTGATTTTCCTTGCCCTTAGTCAGATGTGTCTGGGAGACTTGGTTACTGTAGTACAAGCTTGGACTTCAGTATTAAGATGACCAGTGTATTACTGAGGGTTGGCACTGTTTAACGGAAGTTAACTGACCTAGCAGTCTGTTCTGCGAGCAGCTGTGTAAATCCTCAGAAAAAAAATTATACTGTATAGCCTGTAGTCACTGCTCAGTGTTGCTTTGAGACATCAGGTGGTGGTAAATCAGTAAACCCCCTTTCAGGAGGCGCCCACGAAGGCCAAGCAACAGCCGGGCCCTATGCACATGGGTTCAAATGCGCTCTCCTTCCAAACTTTTTGGTGGTCAACTTACAAGAAGACCTTGGCAGTCACCGGGTCGGGCTTGACTCCAGAGAAGCGCCGAGAACGTCGCTCGGGGCCAAGCAACGTGAACAACGGACAGGATGGCTCCTGCGGCGGGATGAAAAGGCTCCCGCGGCTTCCCCAGCCGGGAGAGCCCGGCGGCG